TCGGCCGCGAGCAGGTGTCGCATACCAGCCTAGTCTCGATAGCCGCCGAAGGTGCGGACCGGACGCAGCCGCCGCTGTACATGGCGCGTGACGTCAGCACAGCCGGCCGGCCGGCTCCAGGTCACGACACGGCTGCATCGGCGTTTGGTAGCGGCGGCGATAACAGCTGGAGAGCGCTGCAGGCAGCGAGCGCGCCAGACGCCGCGGCTGGAATGGTGGGCCGGCGGCATGACTTCGAAGCTGAACGCCAGAACACTGCGCCCAGCACGGAAATATCCGTCCATGTACTGTGACCAGCTCGATTTAGGGAGATCGAATTTATTTTGTCGCAGCAGGAAATACTGCAACTGTCTGTTCAAACCAGCTCCGGCTCAATTACACGAGACGACTTCCAGTTTGGTCTACTGGACGCACCATGAGGCGCAGTCTAACCCCGGATGCCGGCACGTGATAAGGCGCCATTCATCACGCTGGTTCAGAACTGCGGCCCGTCGGAGATGCATAGCATAGAACAGAATGGTCGACGCGTATCATGCCTGGGTTTACCATGAAAGGATGGGTGATCCAGTATCCTAGACTGTGGTAAATGACTGCTCATAGCGCATGACGAAGCAGCTGAGGGTGCCAGACGGCTGCAAGAGTAACCGCGGAAGATGACCACTCATCTGACCTCAGGCGACGGGTAATCGCCCGGGTGACCTCATCTCGCTCAACCGAGCGCCGCCGCCGCCTTGTTGCACCGGTGACCTCACCTCTCGTTAGCCATATCTGTCTCTATCACCCGCTCCACCCCGGCGGACCCCGCAGCGCACCGACTGGGAACAGGTTTGTCCGCGATCCTACATACGGCGCAGCAGTCACGACGTGTGGCCACCATGACCGCGACAAGTGTCCCAGCCCCATTTCCAGCCCCATTTCCAGCCCCATTTCCCCGTTGCCGTTTCTCGCCCAGCTGAGAAAAGTCATACAAAGTGCCTTTAAGTCGCCCGCCGGGCCTCATCCAGCTCGCTGCTGATCTCCCCGTCCTGCTCCGCTCGGGGCGGGCTTCAGAACCTGCCGCGCTCCATCGCTCCCCAGGCGGGTACGGCGCGCCATGAGCCCTCACCAGCTGCACCGATTCGGCCACAGACCCAACCAGTATGGCGGCGCGATTTTTCCGCGGCCAACTGCCATAAGCGGCGATAGGTGTGCCGCTGAGAATGCCCACTAATCCGGCCGGTATTCGGATGCGGCGATAAGCTGGGTAGCGCCGCCCGCTGACGCCGCCGCGCGTTAGGTGAGGTCGGAGGTCAGGCGAGGTCACTGCCTGCGGCCGTGGGGCATGGAGTACGTTGGTGGTTAGCCCGGATCCCTGTCAGTCTCGGCTTTTTAAAGTAATTGTCAAACTCAAAGAAAGGTTGCTAGTTGGACCCAACGTGTCATCTGTTACCATTTCTGGCCGAAAAGGTCTTCTGAGCCGTTAGACCAGACAAAGCAAAGCAAGCTTCCTCCTCTCACAAATAATCCTGTGCGAATCGTCGTGATGTCTAGCTGTACGGCCATTAAGTGAACACGACTGTCGTCCATTTTTGGTGCGCGTATGCCGATGTACGCGCCGATAGACATCTCAGCGTGTGCTGCAGCTGTCATCAGAAGCCACGCGAGACGAGCTGGCCGATGACAGCCGCAGAGAGAGCGTCGCCCGTCTCGCAGCAGCTGTCGCCGCTGCCGCCGTGCTCAGCTGCGTATGACGTCATTGAATGCCGCGCTCAGCTGTGTGTGACGTCATCAGATCTTGCCGGCAGACCACAGTGCACTCCACCGTGCATGCGGAAGAGTGTTGAAGGCAGGGGTCAGGAGTCAGGGCCGTGTACGCTAGAATGTCCACCATGCCGCCGCTCCTGGTCTGCGGACGGCTGTGTCTGCAGACAAAGTCGTGACAGGGGCGTTCGGTTGATGAATAACAATGCAATAAGTACACGCGTAGCCGCCGCCGCCCTCTACCCGCCGCTCGTACGCGCCTGGCCCACCGGTCGGCGTTCACCGCCTGTCGCGGCAGCCACCACCGGTGCCCGGAGAAGCACGGGTACACGTGCACCACGCGGCTTCCAGTCGGCAGACGGCGTCTGGTCACGAGATGGTCCGAGAAGCGGGTCGCCATGAGCGCCGCGGCGTCGGCTAGCCGCGCTCGGCGGCCGCGCCGGTGCGCCCCCGCAGCGCGATCCCCGGCGTGATGGCCACGCACGGACGCCCTCCGCCGTCTGTCGGGCTTCGTTGGGGCGGCCACGGGCGTCGGTTTTGGCGGCTATTATGCGATATCGCGGGCGGTGATGTCACAATTGATCGTCCCCTGGAGAGCTGTCTATGGCTAGGTCGTCTCGCGGCTCATTATCATAGCTAACTGATGGGATGATCATGCCGTGCCATGCAGTGTTTGTCCGCCCACGCCGCTCAGTCGAGCAGCGCGAGTGGAACGGCCGCTTTGGCATGCGCTTAAGGTGTCGTTCATTCGGTGTAATAGCTAGATCAGTCCGAAATACAATTCGTAGCACATTATTCATTGACAATCCATAAGCATACCCATCGCCGCTGACTTCTGCAGGTGGTCCTTACACGCAACGGTGTGTTGTAATTCAGTATATGCGAAGTGCTCATTTTGGCGACCTTTTAGGCTTGCACCGTGATAGTGGTCGCACTTTGTATATGAACCACAACTGATAAACACCCCAAAGTTAACACGCAATATAGATTTGTGGTTCTGTGTTTGACATCATACTGTTTCAAACGGTATGATCTCAGTCCCGGAACCACAAATCGCATGCGACCAAGAAACCCTTGCAGAAACACATGGAAACAAGATCGTTGTAGAGAATACTAAATCGAGTGCATCTCGATCTCCGTGAACCACCCCAAGCGGACATGACGCCATGAAGTCTGCGAAACTGCCTTAATCATGTCGTGTGAGTGACAGGCATAGCTGGGACGCCAGCCGACAACCTCCTGGCCCCTCGCTCGATCATGTGCCGCCAGGTCGGCAGCCAAGTTAGCCTTTTCCAGCGGCGCTGCATCGCATCACCGACTTCGCCGCCAATCTGCCGTCAGACAGGCATCCCAGTCGTGCACAGGCGCCGGCTCTATCCGAACGGCAATTGCCAAATACGGGCCAGACCATCTTGTCCGCCGTGACCTTCAGTTCGCTGTTTTGTGAAGTCGGCTAATCGGCTTTGCTTTGACAAACGACAGGCCGCATGCTCGGAATGTGTGCCGGCATGGCCGCTGTCACCGGGGACAGGCGAGGTCCGCCCATGGGCCCGTCCTGTCACAACACGGACCACCCATGGCACAGGAGGCCCGGCTCCCTGACCTGCCCCGGCGGCCGGTGGTAACAGCCAGCTGGTCACGGGCGCCGCGCTGTGGGATTATGGACAGCTACTGGGCTGCTCGCGCCGCACCAGCCCGAAGCTCCAGCCTGGTGAGATTCCCTCCACGCGAGGCAAAAGCCACGACGGCCTCTCCCAATCGTCTCAGTTGGCCACCTGGAGGGGAGCCCTTCCCGGGCGCCGAGTCAAGTATTGGGAGCCCTGCTCGGCGCCCAAACATCACGCTGACGGATCTGCTGCGGGTTGACGTTCCGTTGAACTGAGCGGATTAACACCATGCAGGGGTGTACGAGGTCCATTTGCGGAATAACAATCCGTCAGTTCGGATCAGGCACTGTTGCGGTGACGACGTCGAGTTTGGGATAGGACAAAAATACACGTGAACTAGTCGGCTGCAACCATAGCTTTTTTCGCCCGCAACCGTTATCATTCGCCCCCGAAATGGCGGCCCCCCGTCTCCAACGCAGGTATTTGCCGAAAACTGGATGCGTCGAGCGACCTTCTTTTTCATTTGCTGCACGTTTGTTTGTATGCATGTATTTACTTCGTGCCGCCATTTCGAGCAGCTTGTATTTTTGCACTGCTCGATACATGGGCAATCTGAAGATCTCAGGCCTTATTCAACAGCAAAACTGTCAGAGCTGCTCCGCTTGCTGTTCGAATGTCTACGGCGCTTCAGTCATTTAAAGTACGGCCGTATCTGTTAGTGCTGTTCAGCACCTGGTGTGCCTGCTGCAGTGTCGTGCCCAGCTCTCCCACAACACCCCTCTCTCCGGGCCTGCTCCCGATGTCATCGCGTTCCGCTGCGGCCCGGCGCCTGGCGCGCTGGCGCGGGGCGGCAGACGCGTGCGCGCCAGGCGCGCCCGTGTTGCGTGTTGTCGCTGTCGCCTTGCCAGGCGGCCGAGGATTGCCATCGCCGCCCACAGAGCCGCGACCTGGCGACGGCTCAGCATGGGCTTTGTTCGACGCCGATCGGACCGCGCTGGCGGCCCGGCGCTGTGGCGCAGCTCCGGAGCAATGAGACATTGTTTTGTGTTGTGTTGACGGAGAGCTGGAAATTGACAGATAAGATTCCAGCTAGTACCTCCCCACGTAGGTCGCTCGTACCTTCCTCACGTACCCCGCTCGTACCTCCCTCACGTACCCGCTCGTACCTGCCCCACGTCCCTCGCTCGTATCTCCCCCCACGTACCCGCTCGTATCTCCCCCACGTACCCGCTCGTATCTCCCCACACACCGGCTCGTACCTCCCTCACGTATCCCGCCTGCATTTTCCTCACGTGCCCGCTCGTACCTCACCCACATAACCCGTTCTTACCCCCTCACGTGCCCCGCCCGCATCTTCCTCACGTGCCCGCTCGTACCTCACTCACATACCTCGCTCGTACCTCCCTCACGTACCCTCCTCGTATCTCCCTCAAGTATCTGCTCGCACCCCTCTCACGTGCCCGCTCGTACCTCCCTCACGTGCCTGCTTGTACCTCCATCACGTACCCGCTTTTGCCTCACTCACGTACCCCACTCGTGGCTTCCCTACGTACCCTCTCGTATCTCTCCCACGTACCCGCTCGCCTCTCAGCCTGCTGCACTCTCATCTGCCCCGCTCGGCAGGTGCTGACGTCCGTCCGCGTTCCGTTCCAGCTCGTCCATGAAGGGCTACTCACAGAAGAACTACCACATCGGCGACGGCACGCTCTACAGCGTGATGATCCCGCACCAGACCAAGCAGGTGGCCAGGACGTACCGCGGATCGACGCCGGGCCGCGGCAGGGGCAGGTGAGCAGGCGCTCACCACTCGCATCCAAAGCCGCTGCTTACCTCCGTGCTTACGTCGGCCGCGCTGGCGGCTCTCAGTGGCGACATCCTGGTCTCGAACCAGTTCATTTGCTCTCAGTCAGATGAGCGCTTGCGGCTCACGCGTGCGATAGCTGATCGGCATCGGCATGTTGATAAAACACCGACATTTCGGACCGGATCAGCACCGCACACCATTTTCCGCTGGACTGGAAACGGGACGGTTTTCTCCGGAACGGTTTTCGGGACATGAAAGCCCGACTTTCAACAGGGTATGTCTGACATCTGACATATCAGGACATCTGACATATCAGGGCAACGTCCAGACATCGTCTAGTCATGACCCAGTTGCTCTCCATGCGACTTCGTCCGAAAGTTTAGGACTGCTCGGCCATAACGCCGCGGAATTCGACGTCAAATCATCACATCAGCCCGAGACGTGTCTAAACTCGGCGCGACGACCAGCACACCCCACTCCCTTCCCAGGCTTCAGCCGGGGTTAGGCCGCCAGCTCTCCGGGTCGAACGCCCGACTTCCGGCACTGCCATCGGGATCGCCGCGGGCTCGGCCCAGAATAGCCCCTTGCGACTCCTTTCCGGAGAGGACGGACTCCCGCCGCCTCCCTCGCGCGAGCGCTATTTCAGCGCACGCGCACGGCCCGACGGCGCGCTCCAAAAAGGGCGCGCCGATTGTCGGCGGCGCGAACGGGCGTGCCGATTGGTCGAGACGCCGGCGCGTTGGTCTGTGGCGCCGCGGACGTTCTCGCTGCGTGGAAATAGCCGTGTTGTGGAGCGCACGATGAGCGCGCTGGATCCCGCCACGTGGACGGAGACCACTGGGACGGGGGGGGGGGGGGGGGGGGATTCACTACGGGTCAGGAGCTTAGTGATATTCATGATGGTTTTTGTAAGTATTTCCTTTCCACGCAGCGCCATAGCAATATTTATCTACAATACAACATGTAATTTGTACATGATCAGCATACATTCTGGAAGTGCACGTGTCTTTAAACACATAAAACCTTTGCAGACATGATATTACGACCTGCAAATGGTGGCGGAGGGGCATGGGAACATACTAAAATGCCGGAGGCCGAGCCTATCTTTGAGGCTCATTTTTTTGGCATGCATAACCATAAGATGGACCATATCAAACTATAGCATCATTAACCATATGCATTGCCATGTTAAGCTTTAGCCGAAGGTGCAAGGAAAATGACCTCCTGGTCCCCCGGATCCTGCGCTTGTGGGGTTTGCCGGCTCCCCATGCTCAACCTCCCGGGACGCGGCTTGATCACCAGGGAGAAAGCTGATGTTCGGGGATCGTGATGTACAGTGGTGCGTCATTTGAACAAACAGGCGTTTTACGAATAGTGTTTACAACCTCCCGCAGCTTCCGGGTGGATCGCATTGCTGCACGAACTTCCTGTCGACGCAAAATCATCGCGAGGAAAAGCCCCAGTGGATCCTTGTTCGGCCGCGCCGCGATATTTTTAGACAATCAATAGACGGATATGACACAACCACGACGAATTTGATCGCTTCACAGTGTTGTGACGTTCGCCAACGGGAAAGAGTTCTCGTGTGGCCGTCAGGGAAAGTCGCTTCTTAGCCAAAGCATTGGGCTAACGCTAGCGTCTGGCTGACGCAGGCTGTGACGCCAGCCCAACAGCGGGGGCTTGGTGGCCTTTCCCGTCGCCTCGGGACACTGATACGGACGCTCACTCGCCGGCACTCGCCGAGCAGTCACCACCGCGACCGGCGCGCAGAGCAGCGCGCCGGTCGTGCGGCGCGCCGGCCGCTGCGCCGGGGCGCGTCCGGTCGCCAGGCCCGCGCCCGATGACACGGCCGGAAATGCCCTCGCCGTGGGAGGCGGGCAGAACTTACCTCTCGGCTGCGCCGGTACCTGACTGAGTCACCGATGGAATCCGGAATCGCCCGGGGAGCCGGAGCTCGAGCCGCCCAGGGCGGGGTTAGGTCAGCAGCACCGCCTCCGCCGCGCGCCGGGCTCGTCTCAGTGCGTGCGGCGGTGACGGCCGCGCGCGCCGCGGAGGCGGTCGTTTGGCACCACCGCCCCGCCGCGCGCCGTTCACGCCATTTCGGGTGGCGCGCCGCCCGCTATGCATACTATTACGGCGCGGCTAATTATGGGAGGAGCCGGCGAATGACTTAAAGAGGCAGCTGAACCAATGGCATATATGGCAGCGGATAGAGCGGTCCTCGGTCGCCGCTCTTGTGGCGTTCCCTCGGACGCTGGCATATTCCGAGACGCCCGGCTTCCACGCGGCACCTGCCCGGCACCTGAGCTACCGACCGCCTGTTTATGTGCGAGTGGCTTCTGCAAGGGCTTCAACACATGCTTACCGATTCAAATAATCTAAATGCTCGAGCAGGCGGTTGCACTCAAAAGGGGGAGGCATCCGTGATAGCCAAAGGAAGGCAAAATGCGCTGGAACTTGCCAGACCGTCAACTTAACTGCAATGCCACCCTATTTCATTGTGACACATGTCGCAACCAGACCACTTACCGAGATGGGACTATGGCCCACATATTTACGGGCGCAGACAAGGTCGGCCTTCCTCCCTGATGCCACGCCATCAGCTGGCGAATCCGTGTTGGGGTAAGTGTCCGTGTCCGTATCTGTGTCCGCTCATAACGCTATTGGTTTCAGCTCTGCCTCCATCAAGCTTCCCATTTTCCAGCGGTCGTGATGGTCTAGGTAATCCCACGCCTTTGCCTTCCCACGCCTCTCCAAACCGGCTCAAACCAGGCCAAAGGAAGTTGGTCCTTATCGAACCCAATTCTTGACAGGGAACTTGAAAGGTTTATGCTACAACATACTGTTTATGATCGTTGATAAGGACTGTGTTTAACTGTGGTTAAAGAGTTCCTGGAAAGGAGATTACGATTAGAAAGTCGTAATCCTGCTAGCGGCTCGAGGCATTTCTTCAGAAACCGCCAACTTATCGCAACCGCGCTGACTCAACCGGATCCGACGAAAGATGATCTGACGTTATTTGAACACATCAGCTCGTAGTCTAAGCAGTGTGACATCAATGTTACGCTGGTTATACAGCTAAATTAAATGCAAAAGAGAAAACTTTGACGGAGCTGTGTCAGTCCAATGGCAAAAACAGCATTGTATTTAAAAGTACGTTTTTTTAGCGAACGCGTTCCACAAGACGCGCGATCCCACTGCCGCTGTGCGCGCCTCATGGATGTCTTGCATGACGCCCCGCCGCGCACCGCTTGTGCATCGCGCTCCCGACCGCGGCGCGCCACGAGCGCAGCGATCCGCGGGCTCCCCTGCGCCGCCGCCGTCTATTTCGATCCGTGCCGCGGGGCTCAGGACGCTTCCCGAGCCGTGTCGTCGCGAGCGACGCGTGCCGTGCACGTGCGACGACGCCGCCGACGCTGCCTGGCTGCCCTCCAACCGCCAAATACGAGCAGATCGTGTAACCGCCGGCCGACCAAAATAGCGACTTTACACCGGGCAGGCGCCGAGAATAGGCCGGCGGTAACAGCCGGATACGGACATCGCCCGCGGCGGCGGCGGCTTCGGTTGCAGGCCGCCTGCCAAGTAGTTCCGCCGCGTGCCGCTGGGCGGCGCGCCGTTCGCCGATGGGCCGAATCCGGCCGCGATGAACCGACGTATTGTGTTTCGTCGGGAGGGAAAGAGGTTGCAGGGTGGGGTTCGAGGGAGGGGGGAAGATCTGGCAGGACGAGGTGGCGACGGACGGAAGGAGCCGTTGACAGCTGGATCAGGTCTGTTATCGAGGAGATCTCAGATGACAAGCTGGTGCGCGATTTCCTCGGGGTTACAAAGCTCTACACGCTTGGAAGACGCGCTCCGATCGTTCGCTCCGTCACGGCTAGACCGTTGGCAGCCCAGGCATAATCATGTTGTAAAAGTTGAATAATCGTTGATATGTGTGACTATCAGATTGCAGCCCACACACTACCGTCAGCGATAAATGGGGCTTCTGAATTAGAAATCGTGCCGTCCGTGGCCCGGAAACCCTACCTCCTTTCTGTACCGGAACGGCTGTGCAATGCACTCAGTGAATTTATGATGTTCATGACGGTGGCACTACACAAGATCGCACGTAATACTTCCGCTAAGGGCCAATTCAGTCCACGCGAACTGGTCAGATCAGAATCGGAACTAATGCGAAGAGCGTGACATATAACGGTCGCGTTTGTGATGAGACCCAGTTTTGTTCACGATGACCCGGAAAACAGGCGTTACCTCAGTACCCGAGTGAGGTTGCCGTTTTAGCTATGCAATTATTTTCATGCAAACCGTTAAGTCAACTGAAAACTTTGCCGAAAAAAGATTGTGGACTCTAGCTGATTTAATATACGACGCTGATTCCTCATGAGAAGCTAAGCCCGCTCCCGGTCCAGAAGATAGCACGGACACGTATAAGCACATCCCGGATCTAGCACAGTTAAGACAATTGGCACGCGTCCAATTTCACGCTAGCACCTGTATGCAGAAACACCGGCCAGGACATTTCTCTTACATGCTACGCGAGTAGGCGCAAGTAGCATAACACAACTTGTAGTCCGGGCAGCATGAAGGTTTGTGCCATGTGCCAAGGAAGAGCGCACGCTCCCCATTAAGATCGTATGCGAGAACTTCGTGCCTTTTATTGCAAAGCATGGCGTTAGCCAGGAGATTGCAAAGGAAAGAGCGAATACAGAGAAGACATGTATTTGCATTCCGAAAAAGAATCTGACGACCCAAGGTCGGGATCCTATCTCTAGCAGTCCGATGAGGTTCCTGGATCCAGCCTTGGAATGCACTCATGTCTCAACCAGGGATAAACGGGTTATTGCTCCAGCCAGCTCGTGACCTGGGGGGTCTTCACCTTCGGCAACCGGGGTTCAAGTGTGTTGGGATACACGGCCTGTCGGACCTTTTGGGGGCCAGACAGATCCTATCGTCTGCAGATCGTGTGGTCCGTGCCACGGTCGGACGCGCTCGACCACACTGAACCTGTCACCTCGGTTGTTAGGCAGCAGCACCGCGCACCCGACCCGCTTGATCACATCAGATGCGCGTCAGGCAGCGGGAATGCGCCCGGCATGTCAACAGCCCCGTCAGCACGCCGCCGTTCGCCCCGCCGGCGATAAGGGGACAGGCAGTACGTCAGGGCCGCCAGCTACGGCAGCGCGCGCGGCATCCTGCACCTTCAGACTACAGCACGCCACGGGGGATGGGACGGCGGCATGACCGTATGCACGGGATTTGTCGGGACCCGTGCATTAATTCAGCGGCGCGCCAGCATCCCCGACCAATCGCCTTTTGCGGACGACGTCGGCGCCGTGGATAACACGAGCTTCAGATGGAAATGAGGATCGATGAGCCCGCCTGAAGGTGCATCAGCTGCAGCCGTACTTGATCGGTTGGCACTCGACGAACTTCATCTCACGGCAGGTCGACCTTTCGGCCGCCCAACCGGCCCAGTCGGCTGGCGCCGCAGTCACTTGGAGCCACTTGACAACCCGCGCATTTCCCTGACAGCAGGCAGTGGGCACAAAGTTGGCATATTACGAGCGATAAGATTCATCCAGGGCGGCATACGCATCCCTAGGCCGCTTTCTGTGCAGAGCACATTGGTACTTTTCGCTGAGGTTGATGGCCCAGCACAGTTGCGCGACCTCAGCACAGCCGCGCCCTCTGCCGCCGCCTCTCTAACTCGCGCCTCCTCCGGCAGGGGTCGCGGCCGGGGCCAGGGCACGCGCGGCCGCCGCCAGCTCAAGTTCCACCATCAGGCGCTGCCGCCTGAGTACCTGGACCACTACGTGCAGCGGCTCAACCAGGAGGCGGCCTCGCGGCTGGCGCAGGAAGTGACGGCGCAGGCGGCGCGCGCGAGCTCGCCGCCGGCGGCGGCGGCCGGGCCGCATCCGCACCTCACTCCCGACGTGCTGAGTGCCGCGTGCCAGGCGGGCCGCCGCCACGGCGGGTCCACCGTGCGGCCAGAGACGCTCAGCAAGGTGGCGTCCGTGATCGCCGCCAACTCCAAATACCGTCAAATCCTGCCGCGGCCGGCGCCGAACCGGGGCCGTGGGCGGGGCAGAGGGCGGGGGCGGGGCCGGGGGCGCGGCTCGCGTGCCATCCCCGGCTTCATCCAGGAGGTGCACGGCAGCATGAACAAGGGTCAGGACAAGATCCTGGTGGAGAAGTCGTCGTACGACGGAGGCAGCCTCTTCCCAACCTCGGTGTCGGCGCACCTGGTGAAGGCGATCCCAGGTGCGTCGACGCCGGCGGCGGCCGGCTGTGAGCCGCCGGGCGCCGCCGCGCCGGACGTGCAGGCGGCGCTCGCGCGATTGCAGACGCTCGAGGGTCGCCAGCGCAGCCGCAAGCCGCGCAAGGCCGACATCTGCCACATGGTGGATGGACGCCGCTCGCCACCCAGCCCGCCCATGTCCATGCTGCAGACGCTGCTCAGCGCAAAGCCAGAGCCGGGCGATGGTGCCTACGGCTTCTACAGTCGGCTCAACGAGTACCTGCCGCTGTATCAGCGGCTGGTAGCCGGCAGCGAGCCGCTGCAGCAGGAGGAGCCGCTCAACCTGTGCATCCGCGACCTCAGCCTCAGCGAGCGGCCGGCGCCGGGCGTCAAGCGCGAGCCGTCGCCGGACGAGGCGTGCTCACCGCCGCGCTCGCCCGAGCCCGCCTGGGCCGGCGACTACGTCTTCTGGCCCGAGGCCGGCGTGATGGTGCACCCGCTGATGCTGGAGCACCACTGGCGGCAGCGGCGCCGCGACGCCGCTGCCTGGGCCGGCGACGCGCCCGCCAGCCCGCCGGCCGATGGCAACGACGCCGGCTCGAGGCGCAAGAAACGCTCGCCAGTCCACCTGCCGGCCGGCGCCGAGCCCACCGACTCGGACGTCAGCATCTGCAAGTTCAAGTTCAAGGGTGGAGCCAACCCCAGCCTGCAGGAGAAGAAGAAGCTCTCGCTGAACAGCGACGGCCAGTTCCGCTTCTTCCAGAACGAGCGCACGCCGCCGGGTGAGCCGCCCCCGCTGCCGCCGCTGCCGGTGGCGTCCACCAGCAGCGAGCGGGCGGCACCCAGTCCCGAGCGCAAGCGGAAGCGGCCCGGTCCGGCCGACCCGCAGCGCCAGCTGGAGAAGAAATTCTGCGAGCAGGGCTTCCTCATCCAAACGGCGCAGACCGAATCGGCCGAGGGCGCCACCTACTGCAAGTTTCGTCAGCTGAAAAAGTTCACACGTTACCTGTTCCGCAGCTGGCGCGACTACCTGCCGGAGGCGGGCGCCGCGGCCGGCCTGACAGCGCAGGAGGCCGACGAGGGGCCGCCGCCGCTCGGCGGGGTCGACTTGTGACCGCCTGCTGTCGGGTCGGCGGCTAGTCGCACTGGAGACGGGGGTAGGGGCTCGGCAGCCGCAGGCGGGAGTGCGGGCCAGTGAGCGTCCGGTGTGTATTATGGAGCGAGTCGACGCGGGCGAACGGACCAAGCGAGCGGCGCGCCGCCGTTGTCATTTGTTACTGTTATCACATGCGAGGAGGGACACATGTGCAATGCCTAGTCACGCGTTTGCAGTGCCATTTCAAGCAATAAACGGTCCACTGTGGCTTCACATAACGCCCGTGCCGTTTCCACCGGCGGCAGCTGCCGGGCTCATTCACCCCTGCTGCGGACAGTCGCCTGGCAAACACCAGCTCCACCGCCGGGCTGGTTCACCCCCGCTCCGGACAGTCGCCTGGCAAACACCAGCTCCACCGCCGGGCTGGTTCACCCCCGCTCCGGACAGTCGCCTGGCAAACACCAGCTCCACCGCCGGGCTGGTTCACCCCTGCTGCGGACAGTCGCCTGGCAAACACCAGCTCCACCGCCGGGCTGGTTCACCCCCGCTCCGGACAGTCGCCTGGCAAACACCAGCTCCTCGTCAGCCATGTATTGACACCGAAGAAGGGCGCACGCGCGGGACGGCCGGCCGGCGCGCGCCGTGCAACTCGCACGACGCTCGCTCCGCGGGGCTGCTGCCTGTCGCCAGGTAAGGACGACGCCGGCGTCAACATGGCGAACATAAAACGCCGGCCGCGAGAGGACGCGTCGGAGCCGGGAGTAGTGCGCCTGGTGGCCGCCAGGGGCGCTGGCGACGCCCGATGGCGAGCGATGAAGGCGGACCGCCGGGGGTTGGTGAGCCGCCGGCCGCGGGTGAGGGCGAGGCCGGCGCGTGCGGCACCGCCGCCACATCAGTCGCGGCGCGAGTCGCCGTTCGCTCGCGGCGACCGCGAGCGAGACCTGCAACACGGAGGAAGGGTCACAGGGCTGGCGCGCACAGCACAATTGACACAGATGGACACTGGTAACACACTCGACACCGATGGCTCGGTTACACACATGAGCTTGACTCAGCGAGGTGCAGTAGGCTGCAGCACAGTAAAACCATACAACGTAGATCTCCCCAAACAAACGAAGTTCAGAAACTCAGGGTTCAGAAAAGCCCACTCCACATAGCATTATCACCGAGCAGCCAGCACGTCACAAACGGTGGGCATTCTTGAACTCAGCGTTCAGCACTTGAGTATTCAACATTTGTAGTTCAACAACGGCATTTGAGTATTCAACAATGTTCCACAACATTCAGCTACAAACCAGCTTATTCTATTCTGTTTTCTGTACCAACCAGGACAAAACAGGATCGAACTTCAGCGGGACACTTTAAACACATCTCTCCGAAACGCCCCCGCCGTAGGCCGACCAATACTAATGCGCCGGCATGCTCAGCGGCGCCAGCAGGCCGACAGTGCGGGGTACCGTTCCCTGCCCTCCTGCCAGCGGTGCACTAACCTGGCCCGATCGCGGGAGCGACTGCGCGTGAACGAGCGCGTGCGCGACTTCCTGTCACGGGAGCGCGAGCGGCGGTCGCGGTCCCGGCTGCGCGACCTGGAGCGAGACCTGGCGAGCGGCGCGGGTCAGTCGGTCGGCCGACGGAGGCCGCGGCCACGCTGAGCGAGCGCCAGGCGGCGGCCAAGTGCGGACCGCCGGCTCGCGGCGTGTCGCGAGCGCGGCGGCGGACGCTCGCCGAAAGGTTAGGCTGCGCCGCGCTGGCGGTTGGCTCGATGCACCGCGGCAGCCGCGCTGCTGGCTGCGAGGAATGGTCGCACGGAAAGGGTCATGGAGGTTTGGGTTGTCACGGATCGGAGAACAGCAGAACACGGTGCAGTCACCGCAGAACACGTCAATGCTGAGACTTGGCTCTGAACAATGCAAGCCAGCTGTATGACAAATATGGCATGAGATCCATCGATTGAGACAGGTTGGATCGCGAAGTGCTACAACTATTTTTTTTCAATACGCAACGAAGTGATGCACGAAAAATAGTTGCAAACTAATCCCAGCTTTTGTGAAGAACATACGAACAGCACGATCACGCGTTCTTTTCAAGAGGCTCTAGTGCATCGAACAACCAAGACATCAAACACTGTAAATGCTTCCAAGGTTTTTTATCTAATGAACCGCACTTCATGTCTTTCTAGATGACTCTGTAACACCCATAAGTTATATACAGAACTCGTCATACATACCATAGCGGAGGAACGCACCCCTCAGTACATTTTACATCTCCGAATACCCTTACAGAAAATTTGGAATGCTGCCGAGACTAAGTTTTTAGTGGAAACCTCTGGTTTACATCACAACCACAAAGCAACTACCGTTGGTGGAATCCTTCCAGCGGCGATATCTAGACCCGCATTAATCCCACACCACGTGGTGTTCTTATACCATCCTAGATTGAACGAGGACGCTACGAGCATCGCTGTAGGTGTAAAGAAAACATTACACCTGAAACGTCCAGAAAACGAGAAATAGCCGCACTGCTCCTGACGATTCGTGTCAGGTGCGCTGCTAGACGTCTCTTTCTACCGCAGCCTTCCCTAATCTTTTGACTGTTCACCCTTATCAACTGCAACATTGATTCTGCAAACAGTAAACAGATCAGGAGCAAGCTAATCATGCTGTGCCTATAAAGTCTGGGGAAAACACCGTGGGAAGTAAACAAAACATCACGGAGCTTGATTTTCAAACTTTAATGCTCAAAATTCACAGTTGGGATAGTGCCCCAGAGTCCAAACAAAAGAGACAAACGCTGCAAATCCCCGTTCCGACACCTAGCCACCCCCTGGCCTCTCTTTCCGTCTACATTCACTACCTCCGTTCGACCAAGAGTCCGTCAGCGCGGCGGCCGCCGCCCAAGGCACGCCGCCCGCCGCCGGGCACCGAGGCGGCGGGCGGCCCTCTCACCGCCGGCAGGGCGGACGCCGGACGGCCGGCCGGCGGTCCGTCAGTCAGCCGTGCTGGTCTACAGCCGCCGCTCTGCGAGCGAGCGAGGCGGCAGAAAGGCGTCGCGCGCGCGCGCGCGCTGGCGGCAGGGGGTGGGTGTGGACTCGGGCAGAGGGCGGCCGCTGCCGGCTGTGAGTGGTGAGGCGACTGTGCGGCTGACAATCATCCCCTACAAAACGTCAGAACAGCACGTCAGCAGGCAGGCGGCCGACACCGGGCGCCACACATCGCTCACGGCACGACCGACTGTGACGGGGCAACACTCTGCGGCCGCGCGCCGGCCACCACGCACCTGCGACTGCCGCTGCCGATGCGCCGCTTGCTCGGGCAGTCGTAAGCGTAGTGACCGCGCTCGCCGCACTCGTAGCACCGGTCGTTAGGGTTGTAGCCGCCGCCGCTAAAGCGGTTAGTGTTGCCAGCAAAGCGGCCACCGATGGTGCCGCCGCCCCGGTTGCGGGAGCGGCCTGTAGACATCTCGACTGAGATGCGCCGGTTGCAGACGGTCCTGCGCGGTGAGAGCCGGGTCAGCGCCGGTCACGGCCCGCGGTGAGAGCCGGGTCAGCGCCGGTCACGGCCCGCGGCACGGACAGAGCGGTTAGCTGGCTCTCGAGCGTACGCCGGCGACAACTCCCAGGAAAACGAACAAAAGCCAGCAAGAACCTCACTCATGAAATGCAAATGCAAATCTATGGCCACTAGGTGACCAACGGGGGTCTTATAAAACAGCAACCAAAACTTAAACTCCACAAATAAAATGGGATATCACCAGTTCATCGTTCTCTGCTCACCTTCCATCCAGGCCCCGCACGGCATCACGGGCGTCTCTGGGGTCCTCAAACTCGACGAACGCGAAGCCGGGAGGGTTCCGCGCCACCCACACGCTGTTCAGCGGCCCGTAGTAAGAGAAGGCATCCTCCAGCTCTGTTTGGGAAGCATTGCTACCTGAAATTCGACATGAGATGGCCAGATGACCATGATAGCCTTTCCCCATTAATGACACTATATAGCATGGTGTGGTCCACCGGAAAAGCTTTGCAAGAGCACACCAAAATTATGTAAAATACTGACAATGCGTGGTAATTGCCTAGCATTTCAAAAATCCCTGCAGCGAAGAGAACCTGAAATTTTGATTTTTGATCTTTGAAACCAGCAGACAGATAATAATAAAACTTATCACAATATATACATCTGCATGAGAACAAACCAGTAAACAAGCACCCAATGTGGCACTGCAATAACTATAGAACTCAGTGACCCCAGAAGCCTTACCTAGGTCACCAACATAAACCTTGCAGTCTATATTTGAACGGGACATTATTTGTGTTCAGCCACTGCTGTGCCCAATTATGTCTGAAAAACAGAAATACAGTTAGCTACACAGGGACAAGTGACAGTCTGCACACCATCAGCAGCTTACAGTGGCCTCTTGACTACTTCACTGTTTTGATCACCCAGGAGATGGATAGGTATCCATGCAAATACTTCACCATGAAAACAATGTATTTTGGGCAAATTCAAGCAGGAAAATGCGTTTCTACAATTAACTTTGTCATAACTTAACCATTCACTAAGCCAAATTAACCATTCTACCATTCATCCTGCCATTAACTGAGGTTAATGCATTTTAGCCAATACATGCAATTTATCCTGACATTCTCTCTAAAATCAAATTAAAATGTCTTAATGTATTCATTTATTTACCTTTGTATCATAAGAACATCTATAACATACAACAAAAAATAGTCCTGGTTTACAGGTGGAACTCTGCATGTCATGGAGAGATTTTGATGCCAATGTTTCTGAACATTGACATCAGAGCCATGGGCACTTTGCAAAACAAAAGCAGCCTTCAAATCATAACATGCCTTCCTCCTATAATCCTATATGTTAAAAAATGCACCTCAACCCAAATTTGTCCAATAATTTTTCTGACCATGTTGCACCTTAGGGTAGTTGAGATCAGCTTAATACAAACTGTTTCGCTCCTCAGCCAGTCATGTCAGAACTTCATGCAGTATCAACACAGTACTGTCCGCACAGTCAACCTCAACAGTGTCAACTATGCAGTGTCAAACTCAACACTGGCTTCCCTAGTTTAGAAACCAACCTCTGTATTGTTGCTGACAAACTAGTTGCCATATGCAAAGGTTTTATAACTGATTGAGAAGTGTCCATATGAAATGGAACTGCACAAGTTTCATATATTATATTATTGTTATAGAAGCTTATTAGAAGGTACCTAATCTCCATGAAAGATTGGGACAGATTGAAAGGGAGCACAAATTAAGCCCATGATGGGGGATCTTGGAAGCCTCCATTCATCACTTCAGTCTGATCTGCAAAAATTCATCCAATGCATTATACACCTATGCAACATTTGTGCACTAAACCCTATGCTTGTGCCAAATTCCAGCCAAGCCAAATTGAAGAAATTTTCAAATTATTTTTGGAAAATGCTATTGCTATGCTATTTTGGGATGAAATTACCTACACAGTACCACAATATCCTAAAACATTGGTGGACTGTGTGCTGAAGTAGGTGATGACTGCACAAAGCCCTGGGAGCCTGCATTTATGGAATACATGCACTGTAATTTTTTTTTCAGTGGTGCAGCCAATACACCAGACATGTTCAGCACAACCTTTTTGTGCTCTGAACAGTTTTGGAAACTTTGGTGTTCCTTGCTGTTTTTAGCCCCAAGACATTTTGTTCTCCACAAACATACACTACAAAGAATACAAAACTTGTTCTCCATGAGCAGTGTGGGATGAAGGCAACTTGTTCCTGAAACTTCGACAGCGTCGTGTTACAGTCACACCACCAAAAGAGGGACACTGCTTGCGGGTTTCAGCCAAATCTTTCTACCATATTACACACAATCTTTCCTATCAATGCATTCAGTGCCCAGCTCCATTGTTCCTCACCAGCACATGCTTAACCCAGCTACCATCCATCAACGCACTCAAACACTGGGTCCGAGCCCGCATTCAAAACAACAGTGTCTAATGACGGACCGGGGAGGAATGAGGGAACAAAGAACATCTTGTATATGTCAGGAATGAACTGTTTCTGGATTGCACATGGAAATCAATGTAACACAATAACAATGAATACAAAAGTACATGATGTCACACTAAAGTACACCCCAAATATAGCATGAGCTGATCATACATTAGCTGACAAATTATTTTCAATCCTTTTAAATAACATTTTTATCAAATTTGCATTTGAAGCTATCAAATCTGGGGATTGTGTGAAAGGTATAATGGCGATGTTAAACACCATGCCAAACACTCGCTTTGGGCACGCGGAAACCCACAGCTCCGCGAGTCCCTGGCTCTTGGGGACGATTTAGCATACAAGAAAACATATTCTTCACCAAGAAATCCGAGCTGAATACATGATGAAAATGCATATCAGGGGCATCAAATACAAGCATGGAACTTTTTCTACCAATCTACAAAGCATCACCAAAGAACATGACCTCAGTATAAAGCTTAGGCAGGGTTTCTTGTTCTCCATTGAGCAGAACTTTTGGTTTGTATTTATAAATTGTTTACATTTATAAGATCTTCATTTCAAGTCCAACTGGGTTTTGATAATGAATAATTTTTATAAAATCATTAAGGTCATAAAAAGCAATATCAAAACTGATTAGTAACTTACGGGGGCTCCAACATTTTAGACTGCTATTCTGTGCACACCATTCATGTAGCCTTCCAGTGTTTTTTTTTTTAAGGAGCCACATGCGGAACCATGGTGGGTGGTGATAGTGTGATTGGTTGATAGCATGGATAAAGGCAACATATGAATTCAGCTCGGTGTCATACACTGAGAAAAGTATTGTATCAGACTCAACATCAGTGAGCAGATGTGGCAATACTAACTTTGTACAGCTGGATTACCCCATAAGGGGGAAATAATTCATCCCCCCGGTTACATTGACCTGGGAGCCCGATCACACAGCAGCTAGACATCCCAGATGGTGTAGTTTGGTACATAACTTAATGGAAAAGATGAGCAGAGAAATTTCTAACCAGTGTGGGAAAAACCTCCGTTTTCTGGTGGATGTGACACCAGGAAATTTTGTACTCCAGGCTCTTGACCAGGTAAGAATGGACAATTTTTGTACTCCAGACAAACGCTGCAGTCGCCCCACAAAGCAGACACCACTGCAAATGTATGAGCCTGAGTATAAGTACCAAGGCAGACAGTTTTGCTTTCTTGATAGCCAGGAGGGTGCATGAACTTTGCTTTCACAAAGTGAGTTATAACTTTTATCTGATTTCCAGGGACCAAACATATGGAGCACCAAGAAATGGAGACAAGCATCTGCAATCCTGCAGGAGCTGGCCAATCCAGGGCATTCTTGTTAATGTCCTTCATCATTGTATTACATGGGTTAGATGCACTTGTACAAGCCTATGCAACTCCTGAATGGTGATGACAACTCATGTGAGTTACTTCTGTGGGAATGAAATAAACTGAAATATGAAATGTGCTTGTTTTAAGTACCTACCGCTGCCACATACCTTGCATGTCATTACCTGTGGGGAAAATAGATGGCGCACCTGAGTAAGTAAGAAGACCGCATTCTCCACGACGCACACACCCACCGATAACTTTCAAGAAACGGGCAAACATATCACGGCTCTGGCTCCCACCACGCGACGAACCCATCGCCTCCCGTACCCGAAACCAGCGGCAACCCAGCCTCCTGCAACTGACGAGTTATATGGCGCACCTGAGTAAGACCGCATTTTCCACGACGCACACACCTACCGATACCTTTCAAGAAACGGACAAGCATATCACGGCTCTGGCTCCCACCACGCGACGAACCCATCGCCTCCCGTACCCGCAACCAGCGGCAACCCAGCCTCCTGCAACTGACGAGTGCATTTTCGAGCAGTGAAGGTCCGCGTCGCAACAGACACCTACAACAATATTCGTTCGACCAGAAACCACTAGCAGCACCAAAATCACCGCTGGCACATCTTTTTCAACTAGGTCATTCAAAGACTCGCCGAGCAAGTCCAGCATGCCAACTATGCTCTTAACTTACCTCATATTAAGAAAACGTGTTAGCGATTTTACCAAAGGACGTGCATCTTGCAAACAGTTTGGTGGGAAAATTCCAAAGATTGCAGCATTGCACATCCTTTTCAAAGCGCTTGTTTCATTCCTGCTCCTGCTATACCAACCACCACTCACCATCCAACTTGCAATTAAACTCAAAATCATAGCATTCAAACACACCACATATCGGCACTTTTGAGATAGAATCATGACATTAAATGGCACCCAAATATCACGTTTGTGGGCCGCACTTTTGGTGGTAACGGCTTCTTTTGGGTTCTTAAATGTCATCGGGAATTACGTTCCCAAAATCGGGAGTTTGTGGCATGCAGCATTCCAAAACTTATTACTATTGTATAAATGATAGTAAGTCAACCACTTTTTCAGAAATCGGTAGATGCCGGTCTTTGAAGATTCGAGGATATCTTACTTATTTAACAAGGGTATCATGTCTCCAGGCTCAACCAGTACCTATACTTGTACGATAGAGATGGTCCATAACCCGGTGGGAAAAAATCGCAGTACTTGGTTGCCCCTCTCACAATGGGGCCTATAGGGAGACCCGGGGAGAACAAGCTGGAGTACAAGCCGGAGAACAGCAAGTTTTTAGCAAAGTTAGCCAAATTTAATTGAAAAATTTACGTGTTTTGGTATCGTCCAGATACGGGCCTTCCTCAGAGGGTGTTGAAATGGCATGATATGCCTTAGAATGAGAAATATCTATAGATTTGTAGTACAGGTACTGCATTATCTCGGCGTTGTCTTGCGCCACCAGAAGATAATATATATTTGTAGGTGGAAAATAGCAACTTTAAATGCACGACTGTAAAGCTCTATGATTTTTCTACCACAAACTTAACAATTTGTGTTGCTGCAACTGCATAAATGGTTTTTCTTAGACTATTCATCACAGCCTGTCATTTCAGGACCAACCCGTGGTACTTGTACTTGGTTGCCCATTGACGAGTGCTAGAATGCCATCACAATGTCTGTGAATGCACCAGAACTCCTGTGCATGGTTTGGTTGTTTGTCTTGATGTGGTGGGAGTGAGGAGGGCGGAGGGTGAGTGAAGCTGCTTCGGATTATGTGCATGGTAGCTGCGAGGTTGAGGTATTCAGTGAGACAAAGTGGAATTGGTTGTCTTCAATTTTCACACAGCATGTATCCACACTTCTAAAGTTACTTGGGATTTAGTTTTGGACCGCTATTAAGTCATTCCAAAAAAGGTAAATAAATACTGGGGGACTGATCTATAAATGTTTACCACTGCAGGCTGGTGCAGAATCACCTTGGTATAACCTGCTCTACCTACAGCATGGTGGGTAGGTACGTAGGTACTAAGGTATCTATATACAACATAAATGCTAGGCTTGGGTTTCCCATGTGGGATCAAATATGAGGCTGGCCTCTTTTCAGCTTGTGGTTATAATTGCTGTAACCTGACAGGAGGCAATGCTGCCATGTTCCTTGCTGTCAGGCATAAGGTCTTGCAGTGACAGTATTAAAATTGTCCCTACATAAGATCATAGGGAACTTGGAGAAGAGGAGAGGGATAACAGGAGGTGCAGGAAGAGAGGAGGAGCAGAAGTGGAGGAGGAGTGGAAGGAGAAAAGTGACAGAAAGAGAAGGTGAGGAACTGAAAGAGGAGAAGAGCAGAAAGAGAAGGATAGGAAGAGGAACACTTTTGGTATGTTTATATTAATTATGTAAAGGCCAAAAGGACAACATGTTAGTGATGTCACATACACAAGGCTTTCATAGACAGTTGCATCTGCCTAAGACTCATTAAAAAACCAGGGTGTGATGCACAGTGGTTGTCCGCAACTTAGTTTGTCAGTAAGCAGAGGATGCACCTGATTTATCATTTCGACTATTGTGTAAGTTTGCATGTAGATAGATAATGATAAGTAACTGAGCTTTGTATGATGCACCTGTGAATGCATATGTATAAAGTTTTGTTGTTAACCTCTCAACTGTATATTTCTTATTAACATGTACCATTAAGCAATCTTTGCATGTATAGGTGAGCTAGTAGCACTACAGAGATATGGATGGGATCAGTGTGGCACCCTCACTCACAAGAAGTGCTCCATTCCACGGAAATGCAAAATTGCATGCTGACACTAATTTTTGCCAGACAAACATTGGGAAAATGTTGACCCATTAAAGGCAGTATGTGATGTACTCCAAGCAAGGCCCATTGTGCAGACACTCATTCCACATTAGACAGACCTTTGCTTGCAGGCAAGTTTGTACTCCGACCACAACAATTTTTGTACTCTGCCACCAGCAAAAAAAACTAAATTTCCCACCCTGTTTCTGACCCCAGGTAAATGGTGCAAACCATATTCTTGCTGATTTTGAACAAGTTTCTTCTCAAAGTTAGGGAAGGGGCTGGCATCCCATCCAACTAAATGGGAAACTACACCCCTGGTCCCAAATTATATGTGTCTAGGTCAGTAAAAGCTTAGGCAGGCATCAGCCTGAATTGGCACTCACATCTTTATCATAGCACTGTCAATATCAACCAATTTTGATCAGCTTCATGGCCTGAAAACAATAACATAGGTGTGAGGTTCACTCATACTGTACTTTTGGTTGGTTTGTGCTCAGTCTTAGTCTCTGCTCATGCTGTGAGCATAGACTTACACAGGAATCAATTACTCAGGAAGCAAGAAAATTAAGGAATTGCAGGCAGCCAATCTCTAATGATCTTTGGCAGTCACTGAAACTAGAATATGGTGTTTACTGCAATCTGCTGCCAGAAAATGTCCTCCAGTGCCAGCTGTGAATATGGTGTGAATTTACCTGGGTTATCTTTTCTCGCTTCATCTGTGGTTTTGTTATTTTGTTCTCTCCCTAAGAGCCAAAACCAAAGTTCAGAGACTCTAACCCTCAGCCCCCCAAAGAAAAGCAACACTTAGACTACACTCTCAAGGATGCTGGGCATGTACCCTATACACTGCTAATAAAACAAAAAGCAGCCTGACAATATGCAATATTTAACCGAGCTGACCACAAAAGTTAAAACATTATTTTTCATGATTTACGGCTGGCGAGCGAAGCAGCCATGCATTACAGACGTATGACTGTCACTCTATCGCAAATCATGTAGCCAATATGGGGTTGACCGAAATTTCATACGCACAGAAAACATAGTCAAGAAATTCGCACACAATTAAGACAACCAGCATACCAACCGATGCAAGATTACGCACGACAATCCCCGGCGGTCCACAGAACGCGCGCGCACGGCTGGGAGCACGCATTCATCGATTATGGCGCAGCGTCGATTTGCAGTAAACAAGAATGGTACAATAATGCTATTGACATTTCCTGCGATGTTCGCATTTATCTAGAAAGTAGAGTTATCATGATAAGGCAACTTTTAAATTTGTTTATCAGAATTTAAAGGCATCATTTCATCAATATAGAACATATAGTTGAATCATGTTGAGCATTAGATATGACCTGGCTGGTTAGGAAACTGAAAGTCAGATATCATCATTAGAGCCATCTGAAGATAAAAGCAGTTTTTGAAGATTTTTCACAGAAAGGAATTTGAAGTCAAAATCGGAATCTTTATCACAAGGTATGTTACAATCATTCACCAATGCTCTTGAGAGTGATGCTGATATGCTACAAACATGACGCTGCAGTTTCAGGCGTAAAAGACAAGGCTCCTCGAGAGTAGAGACGACGGGGTTTCGTGAGGTAAACTGAGGCGGTGTCAGACGACGTTAAAGCGTTGGGCAATTTTTGGCAGATACGCGGTTGCGGTGCAGTGAACCTGACCCTCGTCTTTAAATCATTTGGTCGCAGACCGAGGTAGGTCAGAATAATCGTTCTTTAATTTTCTCAATGCAATCTGCAATATACTGACTGAGTCTAAACCTGACAAATTTTGAACGGACGCTTCAAGTGTTAGGGGCGCTCACCGAAGAGCCTCGTATTTTGTTCGTATTTGCTGGTACATAACCATTTCTGCATGACATGCATACTTATACGAACGCTTGAAGCATCAGTTAGCTGTAAGAAATGTGGTAACGTGGCATAACCTGTATGGCAGGGTGTGTATGTCTTAAATCAGACCATGGCAAGTTGGGGACATGTTTGCTACCAATGTGAGGGCTTAGAGAGCTGATTTTTCAAGTACTTATGATAAAAAGTTGATTTCCATCAAGAATGCTTCACAAATCATGTTGCAATGATATACAGGTTTTGTACAAATTGACCCTGTATGTGTTTGGCATATAGGAGCACAAGTTTTCAGGTACTAATGATGCACGGGCATTTGGCACAGTGAATGGCTTTGTTGCAGAGTAGTATCAGACCTAAGTTACTGAAAGTATCACAAGATCTGAAAATTTTACTTTATTTAGCTGTGGCAGAGTAAATTATTATCAAAGGTTTATTGTAATCTTTGCATTTCAGCAAATGGAAATATAACCTATCATCTTGAATGTTGCCTCAAAAGTCAATCATGGAGACCTTGGTTCTGCTGTTTCAAAAATTAATTCCAGTCCAACAGATAGTTATACAATTTGCTTTTACATCATGCTGCATGTTATATTTTGTTATATTTTGGATGCACAATACCTTTGAAACAGTGCATCATTTTAAGATTGGGGTTTGTGTACCTACAATTTTCAAGTGTTTTTCTTGGAAGCTACATCATGGTGTGCTGTTACCAGTTTCATGTAATGCTGTTGGCATCCCTGATGATCCTGTTTAAAAAGTATGTCATGTTGACAGACTATTGTGGCTGTACATGGTATTTTGAGATGCATGTTTATATTCTGAGTCATATGATTTGGACAGTAGGGAGATTTGAGTTGTTTTAAATTGGGCTTATGTTTTAATGCCTCTCAAAGGGCTGAAAAATTAAACATCATTGTGTTGCAACATTTGGGATATATTAAAATCATGTTGAACATAGTATTGTGCAGCCTGAAAGGTTGGATCTATGAAGCTTGCTAAACTGCACAACAGCCAAACCAGCAGTCAGAGTTTGGACTAGGTACTGACCACTAGAGAGAGAGAGAGTTTGGAGAGTTTGGACTAGGTATTGATGTATAATTGATTCATGTCTTCTCATTGTATTGGTGATCTGATCATTTTTACCTGGACCAGTCTGCATTGATGTGTGTTGGGTTTATTTGAATGTTGCTGGGTAATTATAGCAATTTTGTGTTTCAGTGAAGTGTGAATATGTCTGCTAAGGCACTTAAATACCTCCTGGAACAACAGACTGCAAACAAGGAGCTCTCAGAAACCTGGACCAAGCTGGAGGAGCTCTACAATAAAAAGTATAGTTTCTGTCATCTCATGTCTGATGAATGTATCCTGATTGTTTTTTGTGGGTGGCTCTTTGTTCAGGGAACCTGCTAAGCTCAGCTTGTTGCATCCACCCTAAAACCACCAACTGTTGATGACCAATATGGTGATATTTGGCTGGAGGCAGTATTGGTGTGTGGATTATTGATTAATATCTAAAAAGTATGTTGCAAGCAGTTTCGATCATGGGCACTGCTGTAACATGAGAGACTGGTGATCACTTTTTGCCATTGCTTGCAGGCTGTGGCATCAGACAACACTTCTCCTGCTGGAGGTCATCAAACACCCCAGTCTTCAGAAAAATGATGAGCTGCTCAAATTGTACCACAATTTTGTATCTGACTTTGAAAACAAGTAAGTATGCTTTGTTTCTTGAGGGAAAAATATATTTGCAGCCCTGATTGTGGTGAAATGATGGCCATGTTACTGGGTTTGGACAAGGATAGCATTTGAGACATTGAAGGGATAACTCATGGTTTTGTCAATAATCTGTGGGTAGCTCATAACTTACCTAATTTATGATGCCTATGTGTGTTAAGTTAAATGTGATGTGTGTAATATGGCAAACATCAATCATTTTCCACGAACCATGGACAGCTTGTGCTGACAGGCATGCATGGTGTGATAAACCCCATCCCCGCAGTTCATTGTATCCCCCTCTCGCCCTGTGCAAACGTGCCCTGACGCAGTCCTCACCCTGTGTAATGGTGCCCTGGCACCACCCTTGCACCATGTTAACGTGCCCTGGCGCCTGCCTTTGTCCTGTGTAACCTTGTCCTGGCGCCGCCCTCACCCCATGTAACCATGCCCTGGCGCCACCCTCGCCACATGTAGCCGCGCCCTGGCGCCGCCCTCGCCTCGTATAACCGTGCCCTGTCCCGCCCTCGCCTCGTATAAGCGTGCCTGGCGCCGCCCTCGCCTCGTATAACCGTGCCCTGTCGCCGCCCTCGCCTCGCATAACCGTGCCCGTGCCCTGACGCCGCCCGCGTTAGGATGAACCACATCTCGCTGGTGGAGATCTGCGGCGCCGCAGTCAAGCAGCTTGAGGACTCGGCCGCCGCTATAGCCTTCATCGAGAAGATCGAAGTCAAGGTCAAGGCCACTCCGGAGGCCGTCGTGCTGTGCAAGGTCGTCCTGGGCAACATCCGATTGTACAGCGGCAAAGACACGGCCGCGACCAAGGTCAGACGGGGGCTGCGCGGCGCGTCACGTTTGACGAGGAGTGGCGCGCCCGTTACCACTCTGGTGGGCGACGTTTGGTGGTGGACACTGGTTGGGATCCGATCATATGCATGGCTGATGTGTAGCTGCGTGACGGTCCGTATGGTGGGTAGTCATTCTGCACTTTTTTACTTGAATTGGAATGTCACGAAGATAAGGAATAGGAAGATGCATTATGTATGAGTTTGAACGTTAACGTGACGGTATTCTTAGTTAAAGCCTGCTGATGTTGTGCATTCGCGATGGATGGTATTTTTATTGTCTTACGTCGTTTCATATAGAAGCTCAATAAAACATTTATGAGGTGCCGAGTTATCAATGAGATGTCGACTCATCTCGCCGCGTCGCACTTGCTGTTGTCGCACTTGGACGCGTCGCACTTGGACGCTTGGATGCTATGATGCTGTATGGTCTGGAAAACGACGCACCCTTGAGCCGCATCACATCATGGTCGTCGGCTGACGCTGCCGCCGCCTGCAGAAACTGATCGAGGACGTGGAGCCGATGGTGGACGACCTGCCGCGTGTTAGCTTCATCCACGGCCGCTTCTACCTGTTGGCCAGCGGCTACTACAAACAGGCTGGCATGCACGCGCAGTACTTCCGCACGGCACTCCGGTGAGGCGGCGGCGCGCTGCCGTGTCCGAGAACGCGATGCGGTGACGGGGGGGGGGGGGGGGGGCTGGGTCAGTGTACAACAGCATACTCAGTGCCACTTCGTCGTCAACATGTCCATTTGGATGAACTTTTTGGTGATAGTGATGTACAATCCTGCTCTCCTCAATATTCTAGAACGAAGCCAGTGCCTTTCTTTCCAGGCTTTGTGTGCAGCATTATATTTGACTTAGAAAGAACAAGGATGTCACAGTTTTTGTGTGAGATGTAAAAAATCGTATCTCGACCACTTAAATGGTGTTCCACGTTTGTATGAGGTTTTGAACTGGCATAGCCATGGTGAAAATAATTCGGTGCAGTTCACAGCCTTGCCCTTCTTAAGCTCTTAAGCCCTAAAGCCCTCAGGTTTCTAAGCTGCACGCCCGCAAACATATGCAGACTATTTCGTGCAGATCATAACAAGGCCACCCAGGCATCCGTGACGTCATAAGAACGTCATTAAAATTGTTCCTTTCCGTGAGCCATGCAGCGATTAAGGCCAAGTAAAACTTATTGTAGAGTCGTTCACATAGATAAAACAGTAGTAATCACCAGTGAGAATGCTATTCCACCACAATGGTTCTATCGGGCTTAACTAGCAATGACGTAAATCATCCTAAACAAGAAAAAACATTCTTGGTAACTCAACCTTACCATCTTTATCATAGAAATGCCAACGCTTCGGCAATCAGTTCAAAGCAATGTTACAGATTTATTAATTTTTGCACGCACGTGCATTTCCAATCACAAATAATAAAAAAGTAACTACTGTGGACATCACATATCAATGTCGGGACTACAGCACTGCAGGCAAGGATATGTCGACAACACGTCATTGACATCATCAATAGCCCTTGGTACGTTTCGGTAAGAGACTGATGACAGTATATGACAGTTTTTGCAGCATATCGTGTTTTGGTATTAATAATCTGTCATAAAAGCTGGCGATCGCTACGTTGCGTAACAGTCCAGCAAAACTTTGTCAAACGTTGTGAAACAGTCCTGCAAAACTTTTCGTACGACTAGTACTACGACAGAAAAACCCACAAACAAGCCATTCACTAATCCGCCACCCAACGCAGCGCCCGCAACGAGAATGGCCGGTTGGCGTCAGCTCTAGTGTGTTTCGAGGTATTCTTTAGGTGCGGCTGCCAGATGCTACCAAGTATTGCTGTCGTCACAAAAACCATGTCATGACGCCATCAAGCAATGACGTAATGGGGTGCATTTTAACAAACTTGGAAATTTTGCTACTTAGGGTTGTTTTTGAAGGTTGAAAGCTTACCAAGAGTTACAAGTAAGCTTTTCCCATCATATCTGATGCTTTTCTCAAAATCTTCAAATGTGGAACGTTCCCTGTAAGATTTGGCCGTCGACTTTTTATAAAAATTCACGTATTTTCGTGTCTGGTTGGTCCTGTGCTCTGTAGATGATTTTGAGCTCTGAAAGGGGCTTATGGTTTATACCTCTCTCGATTTCAACCTGAGCGTGTTTTGCCAGAAAAATAGTCACCGAAAGGGGTATTCCCTGTTTTGTTTTTAGCGTCTCACATGTGAGACACCTGACACCTGGGAGACGCTTAAAACATAACAGGGAATACCCCTTTCGGTGGCCATTTTCTTTTGACAAAACACGCTCAGGCTGAAATCGAGGGAAGTGTGGATCGTAAACCCCTTCTTAAACTCAGTCATGTACAAAGCACAGGACCACCCAGACAGGAAATAAGTGAATCTATTCTTATAAAAAGTCGGGAACCAAATTTTAACATACGGGGCTCATCATAGCCGATTATGCGAACGTGGTGTGTGCCTTTATGTGTGATGGGTGCTAGCTTAAAGTCGTTTACAGGTGTAAGTGATGCCTGACGCGTGATGCGCGATGCCTGTTTAGTTGAAATCGCATGTATAATTGAGGCGCGATGTGTGATGCCTGTTTTCTTCAACTCACTTGCATGTTTGAGTGAAGCGTGACGCGTGATACATATTTGTTTCAATTCGTTTGCACGTACACGTGTGCCCGCGTATTTTTATTCTTAAATAGACACTGTATCGTGGTAACGGCTGGCAGTCGCTCTTTGTTTAATCCCCTGAATGTTGGTGTCGTGTAAAAAAATGTGGCTTGCTGTTCCAAAAACAAACCTGAAAAATCGAGTAGGATCATCGGCAGGCAGTTTTGAATTCACTTCTGCTATTGTTTCGATAAAGGCATGTAGCCGAAATACCAGCCCAACTACATCTCCATTCTCCTGGTTTTTCTCCGAGGAATAAGGCTATTACTACTGTCTGATCTATGTGAATAATGTTCCTCGTTTATGCTTAAACAACTTACGTCGAGTCGTTCATATCCAGCGTTTGTGAGCATGATTTCCAGATATAACAGCCGTCAGCTAGATGTCAGTCAAACTTGAGCAAGGTACGATGGCGTAATTTAACAATGACGCATTGAGTAGCATTGTGACTAACTAAACGGATAATCCGTTGTTTAGAGCCGTCATTTCGGCTTCAAAGTATATCAGTTGTTGAAAGTGAACTTTTTCATCATATCTGATGCTGACTTTGATATCTTGAGATGTGAAACATTTCCTCTAAGAGCCGTCCACGTCACATTCGTCAAACTAGGTGGGCCAGCCACTGCTGTCACCTGAAGTCATGCGCAGTTCTGAAAGAGGAAACAACGAAGATCGATTTTCAACGCAGGAAATCGATTGTGACATCCTTTGGAACACTTAGTGTCAGTCTGTTAAACACGCAGATTTCGGCATTGTCGAATCGCTCGCACTGTCGCCTTCACACCGGTGCACCGGATTCTGACCCTGACCCTGCGCCTCTCATCGTCACAGGTTCCTGGGCTGCACCGAGCCGGAGGAGCTGAAGGAGGCTGAGAAGCAGGAGTACGCATTCTACCTGGCGCTGGCCGCCCTGCTCGGAGAGGGCATCTACAACTTCGGCGAACTGGTGCGGCCGCTGGGCACAGCGAACTTGCAGAGCGCAGGGCTGCTCTGTCGTGCGGTAGCGGGCAAGGCGCTTGCCGTCCATTGTTCGGGGCTGACTGATCGTTCGCGCGCCGTGGTCCTCAGTGCTGTCGAAATCCTTTGAAAACTAGCGGTGTCGGAGCCTTCTCTGGAGTGTTCGTCTTGAAATAGTGTTCGCGACGCTCGCAAGGACTCAGAGCTTGTGTTCAGGATTGCACGGAGTCGGTTTGGGGCGAGCTCAAAGTGTCATTGCTGTTGACCAGCCTCGGATGCCACTGGTGGTGAACTGATGCACGGCATGCCGGCCTGGCCGTGCTGTGCTGAGCCCGATCGGTGATGGGCGTCTTGCCACCCGCTACACCGCCATGCCGAAGGGATCCTGCGCCCGGTACGGGTGCGCTAGTAGTGTGCTGTTTTCGGCTGCTACTGCACCCCATCACTTTTTGCCAACTTATGGATTCACGTTGGTGTTGAGAACGCATCACAGTGCTCTTTGCGAGTGTTTCCCATCTCATCTCCCAGTGGAGCATCACTCTGGTATTCCCCACCGGTCCCAACCTGTCCCGAGCCAGTCCACTCCGTTACTTCCCACAGATCCCACCCGGTACGCCACTGACTGACCCGGCGCTCGCGTCCTCGTCACCTCGCGTTGTGTCTCCGCCAGCTGGCGCACCCGGTGCTGGAGTCGCTGCGCACCACGCCGCACGCCTGGCTGGTGGACCTGCTGCTGGCCTTCAACTCTGGCGACCTCAGCACGTTCGAGCGGCTGCGCCCCCAGTGGGAGCAGCAGGCCGACCTCAAGGCCAAGCAGCTCGAGCTCCGCCAGAAGATCTCCCTGCTGGCCCTAATGGAGGTGGGCGCGGCATCTTCCGTTGGTCAGGACATCTCCCTGCTGGCTCTCACGGAGACGGGCCGTGAATCTCCGGGCAATCTCTGTTCGCTGTGACGGAAGTGCACCGGGGCACCCGAGCTGGAAGACGAGTCTGTGGGATGGGAGTGATGTGTAAATCGAGCGTGGTTCCATTGGATTCGCGCCAAGTTTGCTCCCTTAAATCATCTGACGCCTGTGCATTGCGCCCTTTGGTTTACTGTTCTTTTTGTGCCGTGCTTTTTAAGTGCAAAAATGTGATTCTGGCGTATTCAATTAAATGCGCTGCCTTTTTTGCTGCATTAAGCTGATGAAATTCGACTTTAACCTGGAAGATTTTGACGAAAGAGTCGAAAGGAACACCAGCGTAATCAGTGTTCAGACCTGCGTGTAGCAGAACACCATTGTATTCCACCTTAGCCAGTAAGCCATTTTGGACTCGGGCTGATGGGATGGCTGATATTAAGGCATTCATTATTCAAATCCCCTCAGCCGCTCAGCCAGCCAGCCTCGTGTTGTCTGCTCAGTTGTTTTGTCGTTCGTTTCCCGTCATTTGGTCGCACCCAGTTGTGTGTGCCTCAACGGTACTTTTTGTATGGAGGATGAGTGTCTCTGCGCATGCGTCATGTGCACTTGCGTATACAGTGCGACTGAAAAGCCAGGTCGTTAAATATTCTCCCCTCACGATTGTTTCTCACGCTCATCAGCCAATCTAGCTCCCCGCTCGGGCGCCAGGCCACGCTTACGCCACGTTCTGACAGCGTGATCATGAAGGGTCCTCACACTGCCATGGTGGCGGGTCATTCTCGCGACTCCGTCCCCGTGGCGACCCTGTGATCGTCCCACGCCCGCCTGCCGCTGTCAGGGCCGGGACAGCGTCGGCCGGGCAGAGTATCTCCCCGCACGTCGCGCGCTGCTCTGTCGCAATCGTGACTCTCGCAGTCGCCACGACAACCATCGTACCAAGGCCGCGCCGCTGTGTTACTATGGTGACCGTCAGATCACTCCCGCCCTGATATCACGGCGGTGACTTGACGGTGGCGGCCGGCCGTCCAGTCGCGTCTCATTGTCACGGTGGCGGTCGGCCGGCCGGTCGCGTCTCATTGTCACGGTGGCGGCCAGTCTTCCGGTCGCGTCTCATTGTCACGGTGACGGCCGGCTGTCCGGTCGCGTCTCATTGTCACGGTGGCGGCCGGCCTTCCGGTCGCGTCTCATTGTCACGGTGGCGGCCAGTCTTCCGTCGCGTCTCATTGTCACGGTGACGGCCGGCTGTCCGGTCGCGTCTCATTGTCACGGTGGCGGCCGGCCTTCCGGTCGCGTCTCATTGTCACGGTGGCGGCCAGTCTTCCGGTCGCGTCTCATTGTCACGGTGACGGCCGGCTGTCCGGTCGCGTCTCATTGTCACGGTGGCGGCCGGCCTTCCGGTCGCGTCTCATTCACGGTGGCGGCCAGTCTTCCGGTCGCGTCTCATTGTCACGGTGGCGGCCGGCCTTCCGGTCGCGTCTCATTGTCACGGTGACGGCCGGCCTTCCGGTCGCGTCTCATTGTCACGGTGGCGGCCGGCCTTCCGGTCGCGTCTCATTGTCACGGTGACGGCCGGCTGTCCGGTCGCGTCTCATTGTCACGGTGGCGGCCGGCCTTCCGGTCGCGTCTCATTGTCACGGTGGCGGCCGGCCTTCCGGTCGCGTCTCATTGTCACGGTGGCGGCCGGCCTTCCGGTCGCGTCTCATTGTCACGGTGGCGGCCAGGCTTCCGGTCGCGTCTCATTGTCACGGTGCGGCCGGCTGTCCGGTCGCGTCTCATTGTCACGGTGGCGGCCGGCCTTCCGGTCGCGTCTCATTGTCACGGTGGCGGCCGTCTTCCGGTCGCGTCTCATTGTCACGGTGGCGGCCGGCCTTCCGGTCGCGTCTCATTGTCACGGTGGCGGCCGGCCTTCCGGTCGCGTCTCATTGTCACGGTGGCGGCCGGCTGTCCGGTCGCGTCTCATTGTCACGGTGGCGGCCGGCTGTCCGGTCGCGTCTCATTGTCACGGTGGCGGCCGGCCTTCCGGTCGCGTCTCATTGTCACGGTGGCGGCCGGCCTTCCGGTCGCGTCTCATTGTCACGGTGGCGGCCGGCCTTCCGGTCGCGTCTCATTGTCACGGTGGCGGCCGGCCTTCCGGTCGCGTCTCATTGTCACGGTGGCGGCCGGCCTTCCGGTTCGTCTCATTGTCACGGTGGCGCCGGCTGTCCGGTCGCGTCTCATTGTCACGGTGGCGGCCGGCCTTCCGGTCGCGTCTCATTGTCACGGTGGCGGGCCGGCCTTCCGGTCGCGTCTCATTGTCACGTGGCGGCCGGCCTTCCGGTCGCGTCTCATTGTCACGGTGGCGGCCGGCTGTCCGGTCGCGTCTCATTGTCACGGTGGCGGCCGGCTGTCCGGTCGCGTCTCATTGTCACGGTGGCGGCCGGCCTTCCGGTCGCGTCTCATTGTCACGGTGACGGCCGGCTGTCCGGTCGCGTCTCATTGTCACGGTGGCGGCCGGCTGTCCGGTCGCGTCTCATTGTCACGGTGGCGGCCGGCCTTCCGGTCGCCGTCTCATTGTCACTGTGACGGCCGCTGTCCGGGTCGCGTCTCATTGTCACGGGTGACGGCCGCTGTCCAGTCGCGTCTCATTGTCCACGGTGGCGGCCGGCCTTCCGGTCGCGTTCTCATTGTCACGGTGACGGCCGGCTTGTCCGGTCGCGTCTCATTGTCACGGTGCGGCCGGCCTTCCGGTCGCGTCTCACTGTCACGGTGACGGCCGGCCTTCCGGTCGCGTCTCACTGTCACGGTGACGGCCGGCTGTCCGGTCGCGTCTCATTGTCACGGTGGCGGCCGGCCGTCCGGTCGCGTCTCATTGTCACGGTGGCGGCCGGCCGTCCGGTCGCGAGCTCTGCCCATCGCGCCCTCGACCGTCACCGGCACGCCGTCGTCCGCCGCCAGATGACGTTCAAGCGCCCGGCGCTGTCGCGCTGCGTCACGTTTGCCGAGGTTGCGGCCGAGACGCGCCTGCCCGAGGACGAGGTGGAGCTTCTGGTGATGAAGGCGCTGGCCCAGAAGCTGGTGCGCGGGCACATCGACCAGGTCGACCGCACCGTCAACCTGGTCTGGGTGCAGCCGCGCGTGCTCGACAAGAACCAGGTGAGCCGGGGGCGATGACGCTGGTGGCGCTGCGGGGGCTGCGGGGGCAGGGTGGGTGGTGCGGGCGGTCCGCGGGTGGGTTAGCCTGCGGCACACCCGACGAGACGCAGGAGTTGGCAGGGGTGCCGGGCTGGCGTCGCCGGCGTTCTAGGGCGGCCTGGCGCAGCTGCGCCGTGACTACCTGAGACGACCAAGAGGGGTAGACTTGTCCACATATTGCTGGTAAGGAAAACTCCAGACCCCACACTTGCAGTATGAAGTCAGGGAGTCACCTGCGCTCTCTCCTGGCAGCCAATTCAAGACTCACCCGGTGGTCGGCACCGGCGTCGCCACTCTGTGACGTCAGAGTCGGAGCGTCACGGGCGTCAGTCGGTCACGTGATCCCGGGCGGCGAGCGGGCCCGGGATCACGTGACGCCGCTGGCGTGTGGTGCCGTGAGCCACGCCGCTGCGTCAGCGGCCGGCACGGCAGCCGGGCGCCGCGTGACCCGGCCGCACCGGCTCCACTGAGCGACAGACCCCGCCCCAGGATGGCAGCGCACGTGCCGGTCGGCTGACGTGCGCACGCCAGTCACGGCTGCGCTCCCTCTCTGACGTCACCGCGTGGCGACCCCGCTACCGGTACCGCCCGCCCGGCGGAGCATAATCGGGTCGTCTGAAGGGAACAAAGGCCAGCCTTTTTATTTTCATGCTACGGTGTTTGCTTCGGGATTTCGCTCGCCAGCAGCGGTAGGAGGCATCGGATCACGCGTTCTCTTCCCTGCGTTTGGATGCGCTACCTGTTTTTATGCCGCTGGCCGCGGCGGGGCTCACAGACATGTGCCGTCACGCGGCGGGCATCGACGACCCAACTGCTGAATGCAAGCCTTACTACCAGCACTCGTTGCTTGTGAACCGCCCTGGCGCCAGCGGCATCACAAATACTGCGCAAGCATGCCCTGCGCCAGCGCCCACCGCTGACGTCACACCTGCCTGTTCCAGCTATCGTCGATGATCCAGCGACTGGACGTCTGGTGTCGCGATGTGCAGAGCATGGAGATGCTGCTGGAGAACAAGGCGCACGACATCCTCACCTACTGATGATGTCATCGCCGACGTCACGCCGTCCGTCCGCGGCGCGGCGGGCGCGTGTATTCAATCTGTACCGTGTTCCCTTGCGTTTCATAAAACACAACGTGGCGGCCAATGCGTGCACTGTGAGCTGGTGTGACGACGCAGCTGGATGGGCGCCAGACGAGCATGTGCCACCGTGCCCCGGAACCAGTTCACCGCCATACCGTGCCACGGCAGGAGACTGGTTCAGAGCGCCTGAGAGCCCCGTCATCCCTGCTGACGGTAAAGCCAGGCCAGGTTCGCGCCATAGAATCGGTGACAGGCGACACTCCGCGGACGGCTTTATTCCACATATTCCACTCGCGCACGACAGAGCCGCGGCTGGGCAGGGTCGAGCGGACCGACCCTGGATATGGCGAGATCCCCGCACCAGACTCGAGATCCGGATAGCTTCTCAAGCGGTGCCCCGCCGCTTGAGATCGGTGACGGTGACGCGATCCTCGGCACGCGCTTCGTGGTACAGTTACGGGGTCTCGCGCGGACCTGAGCAGGGCTAGACGCTCGGGAGGAGGGGGGGGGGGGGGGGGGGGGCGTCCAGCCCCACTCAGCTCCGCGCACCATTGCCTCCGGTAGGAGGGGGCTGGCGTGAGGTCCCAGTGGAACACACACACGATGGCTGACACGGCTCGCAGCTGAAGCCAGGCAAGCTTCTCCAGAGAGCAGCGCTCGTTTGAGGACACTGGGCGCCTCCCCTCCCCGCCCACCGAAAGGCGTCCCGAGTTTTCAGCTCCGTGTGATTGGGTAGCGTGAGTGCTCGCGTTATTCAACGGATCTTGCTAGGGGGACACAAAAATGCCGAAGTCCATGCAGTGACACGATTACGAACTGCCGGGGGCACAACTTAACCTACACTTGCGATGGCTTCTGCTAGCCTCAGTCCTGTCTTTCATTCGCCACTTCTGTTTTGCCAGGGATCACCATACTCGCACTACGTCGTACAGTCTTATCGGACAGACCGACAGCGGGCTACGTAAGCCGTTCACGTTTCAGGGAAGAAGGGCGCTCTCCGCTTCCCGCTGCGATCGTGCATCGAACACGAACTTGCGCTCGAATCTCGCGGTCACAGAATTCCCCACAAACTGGAAAAACATCAGTATGCGACTTCCTCAGAGCAGGCCGCTATCGGCCCGGCAGCTGACAGCATGGCACGCGCGCCCAGCGGGCCTCCTCCCGGCAGCGGGCAGCGAGTCGACCGTCTGGCCAGCGGCCGGTGCGACGCCGTATTACAATCCGCAGGCGGGGCCGGGCGACACTCACTTCTGGGCCAGGTCGAGCGCCAGCTTGTAGGCCAGCTCTGGGTGGCGGTCCCGGCCCAGCGCCATGTTCCCCACCTGCCGCGGGGGAGGCGAGCGAAGGTAAGAGGACGGCGGTCACGGGAGGCGGCGAACGCGCGGGGGCGCGGCCGCTGGAACAGATCACGAGCTGGGAAGATGCGCACGCGCAGCGATTTCGACTGGCGATCGTCATGGCAACGTAGCGAGTGGGCCTTCCCTCGGTCTATAAATATCACAGCGATCTGGGAATGCGTAGGTCGGCGGATGACGGAAGGCGACTCTGTGGCCAGCACGAGGGGTTTGCCGGGGCACAGTGCCGATATAGGGCCATCTCGGAGGATGTTCGCGGCGCGCGGATGCGGTCCGGAGCAGGCTGGCAGCGCGAAGTACTCGCACCGACCGACAGCGTCCACAGACGGGGCTCACGACGGTCGCGTGGCGCAGCGCACCGGCCGCTCGGGGGCCGGGCCGACCACGTCCAACAGACACCTGCCTTGGCCGAGTCGACGACGACGCCATGCTTGCCGGCGAAGTTGCGCTTCATTGTCTCGATGTTGTCGGCCACCACGCCGCGGCTGGCATCGTCGATGATGACGGTGCGGAATCCCTCCTCCCGCGCGTCCGACGCTGTGGCTCCTGGATGAGTGCGAGAGGAGGGACGGAGTCAACGGTCGCCCCTGGACGTGGTGACAAACGGGTGGTTGCTGGCGTCGGTCAGTGATAATACAGGGTCAGACATAGCACCGCACGTGCCCAGAACAGCGGTTGATCCGTCAACAGCGAGCGAATAATGCAGCGAGGCCACAGATAGTGTGATTAATGGCCCAGCTCGCATTTCTCGAGCCTCTCATAGATTACGCATTGCGAGTTTGACTGTGACAGATTGGTTCGAGAACATCCTGCCATCGTGACTCGTGATTGCTGCTCATGATTCATGAGCACAGTCAGGAGGTTGGCCCTGTACTCGCAAGTGGACATGGCCGCTGATCGCGCTCGCTGGCGACTGCGTCCATCACCGGCGGCGGCACCCAGGGCCAGTGCACGACGCCGCTATTCGGGCTGTTAATCACGACACGGAGCACACACAACAACCACCAGGACACCTCCACAACGCAAGAACGACGGACAGACGTCATCGCAGGTCACTATCAGCGGACATCACTGCAGACGCGACGCATGCAGACACCGCTCACAGACGCGACAGACGCATCTGGTCGATGCAACAGACAGGCATACGCCGCCAACAGACTGTTAATCAGACAGTCAGACGGCGTTCGGCTGTCTGACACAGTCCGTCCCATGCCACCAGCGCGCAGCCTAGTCGAAAACGCGGGCAGACACCACATGTACGCAGCGAGACGGATGGGCGGGTAGACGCCGCCCCAGCGGACACGCCCGGCGCCCCCAGTGGGTCGATCAGGCGACTCACCGACGCAGACGTCCGTGGCGAGGCCGCACACGAATACGTCCGTGACGAACCGCTCGCGCAGCTGGCCGGCCAGGCCCGTTGATGACTGCTTGGCGTTGTCGAAGAACGCCGAGTACGACTCGATCTCGCGGTTGCAGCCCTTCTTGATGCAGAGCGAGTCGTCGATAACCTGCGGCGCGACCAGGGTTCGTCAGCGACGGGTTGGGCCGGCCCCAGGGGTGAAATGGAGGTCAGGGCGGCGAGAGGACGGCGCGGCGTATGGACTGCTGTCTGGTCGCCATATGTCGCCATATGGATGATCCGCGATCTGGGGAGCAATCCGCCAGCCGAGGGCAAGGCCAAAGGGCAGTCTGCAAAGATTAACAAAAGAGCACTCGGCAATCAGCTCTCAAATCCGAAGACAGCAAAGCTGAGATTAAACGGCAGGCAGCTCAGGCGCTCGTCCAGGTGAGTTGTGTGGTGATCCGGTGTAGACAGAAACAGTGGGGAAAGATTGGTCATCGCCCCGGGACCAACCTCGATTCGCTTCCCCATACACTCTGGCCAATGCTAGCAGCAGATGAAACATTTCCAGGTCGCAACCAAGCATCACAGGTAACTAGCTTTTTAATTTTTGTCGTTTAAAAACGGTGGAAATGAGAGACACTTGTCAAAAGTGCCGATTTGGGACATTAAAAGCAAGGGCTTTGGCCGGCAGTCAGGGGTACAGGTGGTGCAGTCGGGGGTACAGGTGGTGATACCCATCAGGCTGGAGTCGTGCTCCTTTTCCTTTTTTGTTGCGACGACAAACGTACGGAAACTTGCATACAAGTTGAGCTCAAATCTGATGCCTGTAGACTGCACAGGTGACTGGGATTCTGACGGTCCATGTTTAGCACGCTCCTCGCATAATCTACACATACATGAGTTAATTTAGAAGTGCAAGTAACCCGAGCTATCTGTAGGGCCGCAACGCGATTACTTGGATTACCGATGGTTTCAATGACGCAAACAATCCATAGCGTCGAGTAATAACAAAACATACTTAACAAACAACCACTAAAATCGAGTTTATCTGTGGACGGACGAGATATCATATCTAGCCCCATTCACGCCCTAAACGCAACCATCACTTGCTTCCACACGATAACGCAAATGCGCGCTCTACTGATCGATAAACTTGCGGTGTCATCCAACGGGGCCACCTTTGCACAACTGGACTACAGATATCTGGTCACCTCAAGCACGATGAGGGTGCAGCAGGGGACACCATGTCTGACCCGCAGAGGGTGGATTGCCCCCATCGACCTCCGGGTGCGGCTAGGTGCCATCACCTCTGATCAGCTAGGTGCAAATCACTCACTGTGATGCCACAAATCACGATGGGTATTTATTTCTTCCGGCCCCCAGAGACCACCACCAGTTCACCTTAATGTCGTCGTGCAGCTGGGCGCCCCCGTCTCTACCTGAAGACAGCGAGTTCGGCCCACCTTGAGATCGGGGTGCAGCTGGGCGCCCCACGAGTCCTGCACGCAGTGGGCCGGCCAGAGCACCTGCTCTCGCACCGGCTCGCCGTCAAAAACCACCTTGTCGTAAGTCTTGGCGTCCGCCGCCGCCACCTGTCGGACGGAAACCGAGACCGCACGGCTGAGAGCCGGCCGGGTACGATGCCTCTAGATATCGTCCGGGTTAAACCACCTCACGATATCGTCCGGGATACGACACCTCACGATATCTTCCGGGGTACGACACCCCACGATATCGTCCGGGGTACGACACCTCACGATATCTTCCGGGGTAGGACACCCCACGATATCGTCCGGGGTACGACACCTCACGATATCTTCCGGGGTAGGACACGCCACGATATCGTCCGGGGTACGACACCCCACGATATCGTCCGGGGTACGACACCTCACGACATCGTCTGTGGTACGACACCCCACGATATCGTCCGGGGTACGACACCTCACGATATCTTCCGGGGTACGACACCCCACGACATCGTCCGGGGTACGACATCTCACGATATTGCCCGGGGTACAACACCTCACGATATTGCCCGGGGTACAACACCTCACGACATCGTCTGTGGTACGACACCTTACGACATCGTCCGGGTTATGGTACTTCACGATATCGTCCGGGGTACGACACCTTACGATATCGTCCGGGGTATGGCACCTCGCGATGTCGTCCGAGGTACGACACCTCACGATATCGTGTGAATATGCATATATATATACAATATATATATATATATATATATATATATATATATATATATACTTCAAGGCTCGCGTCAATGCCGTGGTCGAGCGTCAATGACGACGCGAACTCTGGTGTTGTTCGTGACCGGGGAGGCGGGGCATCGCGGGCCAATGGTGCCTCCCGAACGGATGACCTCTGGCGTCACGCGGCCGGCGTTCGGGAAGCCACCGGGCTCCAGTGACCCTGCTCCACCTGTCCCGCTGTCGGAGCCAGGCACGAAACATTGGCTCGCGTTACCCATTATCTCCCAGTCGGAGCGCATGCTTTACTGACTGCTTCTGCGACGCCTTGTCATGGTGGTACTCCCCTTTGACCTTCACGGCGAGCCGATGTGTGTGCATGACTCACCGTTCGTTGCTATACTCTCGCAAAACAAAACATACAATTCGTTATTAACCGCGCCACCTATCCCCTTACACCCAAAGGACTTCACCTTGTGGCTTCACGACGCGCCTCCCCAGCGGGAGGACGCCGCGGCCGTCAGTCATGAGTAGGCCCTCCAAGCGCGCCCTCTGGCCGTCACTGCCAAACACCCGCACAACCCTGGCCCGGGTGCTCTGCGCGGGCTAAATGTAGCAGATTTCTGACTGATTGCGTGATAGTTCATACTTGTGGAGACCTCGTTCGTGCCAGTCTTTCTCGCTAGTCCAATGAAGATAAATCTTGTCAAACAGCTTGTACTTTCTGGTCACTTACACGCGCCAACACTCACACCACAACGTCCATTCACACAACCCACAGCAGTCTCGCGTTTTCTGAGCACCGACAGAGTATGAACATACACGGTCACCAATGGTACGGCTTATACAATGTGCGCATCGGGGATGATTCATGGTCGTAGGGTCAAGAAATGACGTGAAAGTTAACGAATGAAAAACGAGTACGACGTCGTCCGATGGTCGCCTAAGCCAATCAGAAATTGGGCATTGCCTTGCGATCCCAGAACTATCTAATGCAACTGGCGGTTGTTGAGATGCTGATGCGACTTTTTTGAGGGAGCATCAGACAAAATTTCGGAAGCCAGGCATACTTCCAGCTCCGATGGAGCAGATGGAATGCGATCAGCGAGCTCTTTCCTAGAACGTTTAGACGCCTTCCAATACTCTTCTCGTCCCAGAGACTTTCAATGATTCTAGAGAATTAACGTGTTTAAGCATCTGGAGGTTTATATAATTTTGGAGATATTGGCCACCCAGAATTCACGTCCTAAAGACTCAGAAGGATTCTAAGGAATTACGGTGCTTAGACATCTGGAGGTTTATATAATTCTGGATATATTTACTACCGAGAAAAACTTTGTCTCAGTAAGTCTCAGTGCTGGAGGTTATGATGGCCGCGGAAGTAAGTCATTTTTCAACCCTCGGACAATGTCACGTATCTCAACAGTTCACGAAAGCCGACGGAGTCATTGCCTGAGCAAACCAAACGTGCGTTGAACACCGCCTCGTCACTTCTCAGCTTCAGTCCGTGCGATAAGAAGCGCCTTACGGCTGCCCGTTTTACGGTATCAACATTGAGCTGACACAGCTATCGGTGTGGACTTAACAGCACGCGTTCTCATGACCGATGAGAACTGAATGAGGGGTACACAAGCCTGAGCATGTTCATCTAATATTATGTAGTTTTACATCGACGAAATTTGTGAACGTAACTAATTGCTTTGCGCGTAACGACGCAACATGTATGAACATTCTTAATTGCTTGGCACGGAAAGACGAAGAACGGATGATATGTGACAAAATCAGTTACGGCCTCTTGATGGATAATTGCCGTCTGATGATGGCAACGATGAAAACGCGACATGTCAGTGATAAAGGGGTGTTCCCTTGAGAACCATTATGAATAAATTAGACGTGCCTTAATCGCATGCTTATGTGACGCAACATAACTGATAAGGATGATATTGAAGTACAGGGAATAACAACAAGAACAGCTCAGGTGATAAACGCCAAGAGTTGCTAGCGGGGTTATTTGCCGAGTGAGTGGTGTGTTCCTCCCACTCCTCACATGGTCCGGTGAGACTGTTTGGAAGCCATGCCCACATGGTCCGGTGTGACAGTTGGAAGCCAGGCTATCGCGACGCCTTTTCCCTGATAGCCCTCACTACTAAGCCTCCCGCACGCATTGCCGCGATGGAAGTATGTCACGTAAGCAGACCACGAGGTTCGTGTCCATTGAAAAAGACAAGACGCAAACGTGTAATGGCATGCGTGATGAATGGCGGCAGATGAATGGTGCAGTGTAATGGGAGAAAGTCAGTTATCGATCATCGCATCTGCCTTCCAGCATCATGGACGAATTATCGTATTTCCTTGACCCTTACCTGTGCCATGCTAAGGTAGATGGGGAAGGGAAAGCATAGTTCAGTGTTGAAAGTGCCGATGTTGCGGTCAACGTATATATTTGTATACATGTAACACACGCACAATAATCACACTGGAATGGGTCGCAGACTGCTATAGAAACATGCCTTCGCACATTACATCCCCAGCTCCCTATCATAGCCAAATATCGACCGAAAACCTGGCGTCAATCGAAGACCTATCCGGCCGATAACCTGCGCCAGCAATAGCACCATTGACAAGGGCAGTTGGTCCGGACAAGCGTTCGATCTGCACGAACGCACCGCCTCAAACATTTCATGGACGTGTACCTACTGCGCCAGTACCTGCCACCATTTTGGGAGCACTTGAGCCACAGCATTGACAGTTGAAGAAGTGCAGAAGTTACATTTCCGTTGTTTTGCATGCGTCATCGTCGATTGACTGCGTTTAGGAACCGCAATGTTTGTCTCGTCCTCGACGAAATCGGCAAACATTTTTTTGGTAGATCCGCTTGTGCTCCAGACCTAATCACCCTGAGCCGGCGCAGCGCACACGTCATGGGTGGCATCAAACCCGACGCCATCTCGCGACGCCGACGCCAGCGGCGTGCAGGCCTCGGGGCACCCCGCTGTCGTGTCGGTCACGTGACCTGGATCTGGCGGGACCCCGAGAGGCTGGTGGGGCAGCTGGTGGGGCTGTCACAGCCAGTCGGACGTGGCCGGGCACAGCGCGTCTGGCCGCAACCCCAGACCAGCCGCCGTCTGCACACTTGTGTTGGACCGAAATTATTTGAGTCGACCCAGGCCAGCTCACATGTATTAGGATCCCATTCAGCTCATAATTCATAGCCGTTCCAATTCTTTTTTCACCCCAGCTCAGCTCACTGCTTGCGTTTATCATTTGGCTCCCAATATCAAATATCCGATTCAGTCCCGGCTCGTGGCCTTATAACTCTTTCAGAGAATGAGAAAGAGCAAGAGAGAGAGAGAGAGGGGGAGAGAGAGAGAGAGAGAGAGAGAGAGAGAGAGAGAGAGAGGAGAGAGAGAGAGAGAGAGAGAGAGGAAGAGAGAGAGAGAGAGAGAGAGAGAGAGAGAGAGAGAGAGAGAGAGAGAGAGAGAGAGAGAAGAGAGAGAGAGATAGAGAGAGAGAGAGAGAGAGAGAAGGAGAAGAGAGAGAGAGAGAGAGAGAGAGAGAGAGAGAGAGAGAGAGAGAGAGAGAGAGAGAGAGAGAGAGAGAGAGAGAAGAGAGAGAGATATAGAGAGATAGTCTATATATATATATTATACATATATATATATATATATATATATATATATACATATGTATATTATGGCATGAAAAACAGGTACAAATAGCCCTGTAGCAATTTTATAGTTAAAAAAACCTCAAATGCAGTGCATTAAACAAAACGTTTCCTGTAACCTGTTACAAATAATCTCTCCCACGCCTCAGGTCTAGGCTAGCACATTCTACCTGGCACCTACGGCCCAGACTTATTAGTTATATAGCGTGCAATGCAGACTTGCTGTTTATTTCATACAACCTCAGCAATAGTTTACTTACAGTAGTTCAAGCAGTGAATAAGGGATCAGGTGTGGATCACGTCATTATTATGACGATTGACAACTGAAAAATATGACCAGCAGTTGAATTTCATACATAGCAAGCAATCTTTCACTGATTTTAGCATAGGATATGGGAAAGTAGGATGTTTGCAACATGTAACGTCCTCTGGTTCCTGGCTGAGATTTGACAGACTTAAGCGCAGGATCACAATATTGTGCTTTCTGCTTAAAAATGAGAAATACGAGCTTTGAGCTGATCTTGCGGAAAGCCTCACAACTTTTGATCCATGCTTTTAATTTTGACACTCTAAAATGGTCTGTTCATTTGTCTGGGGCTCACTGTGGTTCCTCATGTTTATCATTATTACAATCTGGGTCATACGGCTCACTGACGCGGTGGCGTCACAAATGAGGGGCTCACGATTCCGCTGATGTAGTTCACGAAGGAAGTGATTCAGT